GGAGTGAATGAGTCAGGTTGACCTGTTAATAGAGCAAATCCAGAGAATTTCTAAGAAGTCACATCTGCTGACAAATGGTTCAGCAGCACCAAATCATCTGTTCCCATCAAAATGCTAGTAGAGCCGACGGTGTTCCAGGAACACGTCAGACACAGACACGGATGGAATGATGAGCGATGGACTTCTGAACAGCTGGGTTGAAACGGGGAAATAGAACCTCACTTAATCATTCATGTAGTTCTTATGGTGAAAATGAATATTTGGAGATTCTTACATATTGATTACTAAGATTTGAGGGTGCTTCATCAGCAAGTCCCCACACTCTGTGGGGACTGTTTACTTTGTCACAAAGATGCAACTAAGCTGTATTCATTGTTAATATGAGTATCTGGATAGTAATATTAATGTCTTCCACATGCAGTTGTCTCTAAAGTGAGGTTGTCATTGCTTAGTTAAAAAAAAAAGCTAGAAATTGGCATTGTCCACACTCTCCTCTATAGTCTATAGTTTAATTCAGCTCTGACTCCGAGCATAATATTGCAAAGGTGTGCTTCCCACAAGATTTGGCATGCTCTTGCATGCTTTTTGTTTCCTCATTGGGGTGATTGAATGCTGAAGTTTCTCCTGCTGAGTAAACCTGGCAGGCTGCTGCACTTCTAATTGGCCATTCAATCTTTAAAAGATTTTTCCGGGGGAAGTCCGTGACTGCTGGTTTTGCATTGATTCATTCGAATTGTTTGACTTTATGTCCAGATGTTTCCGGTGGTTTTCCGTTGTGTTTCCCATGAATCGTTTGGTGTTTGACATCCACGGCGGACCGTGACCTGCAGGCGAACACGAACACTGAAGTCTCTTGAGGAAAAAATATTTCCCCATCCAACTTCATTCATAAAAATTTCAAATAAAGACAAAGCAATTCAGGGGAAAGGGTGAGTCAGGGAGCCTGCATGCCTGCCCGAACCATTAAACAAACATCGGAATAAATTTTCTCTTCAAAGACACACCAGCATACGGGCATGAAGAGCTGGAGATCTATTTATAATCTCCCTCCTTAGTGGATGACCATCTCTTTCCACTTAACCTCTCTACAGCTCATGTCCGTCTCATCTAAACACCCATAAACCCTCAGTTTATCAGCTCTACAGACTTTCATTTGGCACTAAACTCAAAAGGATCTTGTGACTCGAATGACGGATATTTCATATTTTAACATTTTGAGTGTGAGAAGAACTAGCTGAAGAGTTTAATGAATGATATGTGTGGTATGTAAAAGCTATTTTTGCCAATACTGGCCAGTAATATTGAACTTCCTAGAAATTTACCATATAATGCAAAAATAATGATCAGTAAATTCATCCAAAATATTGATGCTGTTAGAGCTGTTTTACAATGGAAGCAGCATACTTTGGTCACACTCAGGGCATGAATCACACAAAGGCTTCTGGGGGAGCCCAGTTAGAATGCCTTGGGGCGGGGGGGGGTTGTTCGTCCAATCACCTTCGTCAAAGCTCCGTGAGAGTGGAGGTGGGTTGTGGAGTTGTTCGTGGAGACGTTCATCAGATCACTGCTGTTAAAACTCCAGGGCGCACGAGTATTTTTTAGAGTCCCACTGAGTGTTTCAGTTGAGGGCTTCCAGGGAAGCCCGTCACCCTTTCGGGGATCCTGGCTCCCCCTAGCTCCCCAGTAATTTGAACCCTGGTCATCACCAATGTTGGGACAAACACTGTTTAAGTATAACAGCGTTGTTGTTTTTTTAGGTAATCTAATTAATTACTTTTCCCATTATTGCAACGCCGTTACCGTTAGTGGTCAAGTAAAATGGTGCTTTACTCCGTTACTATAATGTGGATAAATGAAAATCAGGAGTTGTAGGCTGTCCAACAGCCACACCAGTGATGAGTTGGTCATGCACAACATGGCTCTTGAGCCGACCAAAGCCAGAGTGAGTGACACCGGCTGTACCGGCACCCACCATCCCACCCCGAGCAGATTTACAAATGGCAAAAGTGAACTCACAGCGCCGAACACATCAATGTGTGTGTAGCCAAAATGCCTGTGACAATTATTACAATAACATGATGGGACCTATAAATATTGGTGGAGACAAACCTGTAAACAGGAAACAGTATGTGTGAGCATGAGGGAGGGAGTGTGTGACTGTGTCTGTGTATGACTGTATATGTCAGGTGGGGCCTTTGACTCCTCCCTCTCCTGGGACTTCTTTTGATGATATACATTTTCGCCTCCCCTCCCCCTGTCACACCTGGTGTGGAGTGGGGTGCCTTGGTCTGCCTGAGTGTTCGTGGCTCCCGGGTCAGGGGGTTAGATTTTTGGAGTCTGCCTGATTAATCCCGGTGGCTGCTTGGTGGGATCCTGGTCCCAGGGCTCAGCTGGGTCCCCGGCGGGGCTGGTCGCCCCTGGGTCCCGGGTCGCCGGGTTCTGGGCTCAGCCGGATTGGGGGTGGGAGTCTGCGGGTGGGCCTGTGGGCTTGCCGCTGATATCTCCCAGGACTCTGCCGGCTGCTGGTTGTGGCCCCTCAGGACAAACCTCTGCGCCTCTTGAGGGTCACAGTCTCCCTGGGGTCTCTGTGCTCTGGGACAGCTCCTGGATCTCTGGGACTTGAGCTCCTTCCATCTCATACGCATCTTTGGGGGACAGATCTGTGGCCCCTCACACTCTGTATTGGACGCTCCTATAGAGAAACCTTACATATACAAGCGCGTGTACACACACAGGTGCTCACATGGTGCTCTCATAAGTATAGACTTGGGCACATTCAACACGTCTCGTCACATGATTTATTATCGTGTGATTGTTCAGTAAAACAATATATATTATATATTTCTTCATCAAGATGGCTTAGTGATACCTTGCTCCTGCTGTATTGCTGTATGCAAGGCCGGATTATAATATGGGCAAACTGGGCACAGGCCCTGGGACCCACAGCCACAAGGGGACCCACGCCAGCAGCAGTTTTTATTTATTTATTTCTTTCTTGTGCAGCAGTCTTAACATTGGAGAAACAAGTTGACAAGTAATTAAAATTGCGCCCACATGTTCTAAGTTAACACACATTTCTTTTAACAATGGTAGTTTCTGCATCTTTACTGCTCCCCAGCTGCTTCAGCCCTCTCCCCAGCGCAGCAGCCGCAAACTCACTGATGCGCCTGCAGCCTCTCAGAGTTCCTGCTGATCTAAACGTTGAAAGAATCATTTCATTTTCTGTTCCTCACTTCTGATTATTTTCAGTGGTGTCTGTTTCTTGCAACCACCAGGTACAAAAACGAGTTTGTTTTTTATTTGACTATTTTTCTGTGTGCCCAGGGGCCCCTGCAATGATAATCCGGCCCTGGTTGTGTGCCTCTTTTCTGCAGGTCTAGAAGCAGGCCCCTGTTCATCATTGATTATCTTTGTGGACCCCCTCTTTTTGTCTCTTCCTTTCTCTTTCACCTCTGTCTCCGTGTCTGGTCGGATTTACAAAGTATTCAAATAACAATAACAATAAAGTTTTAAGTATCAGTCGTGACATTAACAGCAGGCGCTTTGATGCTCCGCCTGAGAGTAAATCTGTAAGGCTTGTCACCAGCATTCACACATTAATTATGTTTGCTTCACAGCCAGACAGGACACGGGGAAAAAAATAAAAAACAGGAAACAGTAATTCAGAAAGGTGAGGAGATGTTTGAAAGCAGAACAGGCAAGAGGACACCAGTCTGTGGCAAACTGTTTTGATATTTAATCAACAGTCTGACCTCTCTGTAATTTCTCTCTGTAACTTTTACAATGTGTTAACTCAGTTACTAACTCAATTACCTTTTGGAAAAATGAATTACTGTTCTAATGTGAGATGCTCAACGTTGGTTGTCTTAGAACGTAAACACAACTTCTCTGAGCAGTTGCTATTTGGGATGCTACACTAACAGGGAAGCAATTTTTTTACGTTTACACAAAAATACACTACAAAACAGACAAAATACCTTGTTAAACACTAACTGGGTGTACAAACCTGACATGGGATGACCATGGCATCAGCAGATTCTTTTTTAAGATAAAGCTTTAAAGACAAGTCAAATCTATCACACAGGTCATGTGCCTGCTAACCTTTAATTACCTTTAATTCATCACAAACAACATGAATGAAGGCTGGTGGAGCCATATTTACAGAAGTCCGTAAACATTGCTAAAGATTGCAATTTGTCTCAGTGGTGGAAAAGGTGTGAGGTAAAAATGAATAAAATCATTTATATGTTCTCGTGCTTATGTCAGGAAAGTTTAAAAACAAATGTTTTGTGTTTTTGCTATGTAACACACACACTAAGGGGGCGACACACGGGAGGCGACCTGTGGCAGCGGCCAGCGGCAAAGCCGTCTACGCGTTCTGTTCCATGGCAAAATCGAAACTTCCGTTGTTTTGTTTGGCTGTGTCAGGTTGGAGGGAATTAAGGTTATTTAAGCGGTTCAAGAGTTAAAAAAGTGGTAGATATGATGTTTCACAAGGTGCTGCTAGAGTTATGTGAAATCTTACTTGTGATTTTACTATAAAACATAATAATAATCAACTTCTCCTTCATGTTTGTTCGGAGATGTACGGAGCATCCTGTCCGCTCATTGGTCAGTGAAGGAAACCTCCGTTGATTGGTCCTCGTCCGAGCGACAGCGATGACAATTTGAAAATATTTCAACTTTCTGGGATTGGGTCGCCTGTGCACGACATGTGCACGAGCGCAAAATTTCACACGCATGTTTTTCGTGTTCTGCTTAGTAGGAGGTAGACCCGCGATTATCGCTTTGTCGCGCATGTCTCATTGAAAATGAATGGAGGAGAGGCGTGTGTCAAGCCCATAATAAAGACTTATCAGCTGTTTTCATTACCTGTGTGTGTGTGTGTGTGTGTGTGTGTGTGTGTGTGTGTGTGTGTGTGTGTGTGTGTGTGTGTGTGTGTGTGTGTGTGTGTGTGTGTGTGTGTGTGTGGTGTGTGTGTGTGTGTGTTTCTGTGGTAGGTGGCTGCCAGAGCTGGAGTTTATGACATCCTTAACCAGCTGGGCTTCTCAGAGTTTGAAGACCCAAGAGACACTCCACTGGCGAGGCTGCGCTGCCGCTGGCAACAGCAAAACATTCACTCACTTCCTTTCCGAGGGGAGTTCATCTGAGAGAGGGTCCCTGTGAAAGTACCAAAACAGCTCTGTGATTTTCAGAAGACCATTTTGGAATCAACACATTTTTTTGTGTGTGTTATTTTTTTTCTCACTGATCCCGCTAACCGTTTAACAATATTTTGTGTCAAGCCTTGATTTTTAGCCAATTTTTGTGCCTTTAAATCAAGGAGAAATTTAGAGATTATGTATACTAATACTTCCATTTTTATTCTGGGTTAAAAACATGTCTTCTCTTGTGAAGGGCTTCATCGAAGGCTCCTGTTAAATGCTTTTAGAAAAGGGGAGAGAAACAAATTCTGCTGTTGGCCATTTTGTTTGCAAGTCACAACAGTTTGCTGTTGTGTGACCTGATATTTTTCTTAAGTGTCGACCTTTTTCTCTGAACAAAGCTGTTATTAGAAAGAGCTGGAGGCTTTGGAGTCCCTGTGTACATATGCAATCTGTTATTAAAGTATTCATGCTTCTTTGAGCTTTCCAAACACATTGAATGATGAGCTGCTGCCATGTTTTTAAAGCGGCGATGTCGTATCTGTTTCCATTCACATGAGATTACAAGTGTTGTGATTCAGGTACTTATGCGTCCATTGTTTTTAATGTTCCGTTTATTTTATAGATATTTATTTCACTGTATTTGTTTTAAACAAGTATGATGTTTAATTTTTTTTAATACTTTCAAGCATCATACTTAAGAAACCTGAGAACATAATAGCCACAACTACATCAGATGACCTGTAAAGGTTTAACTAAAGCAAGTTTTAGAGGAATGCACTAATCCTGTTAAAGACAGATGTAGAAACTTAAACATTGTTATTGGCAGTGCTTAATTTGTAATTCAAAGGTTACCAGAATGCAAATAGTGATGTCAGACCAAAGCTCACTGAGGGCAAAACTGATACCAGAATGCAGGGGGGTGGGGGTGGCATGATGAATGGAGTTTAGTGTTTGATAGATTAATTTTCAAGATTAAACATAACAAAAAAATAATAATGAACACAAAAAAATCACAATAAAAAAATCTACTTGCAAGAAACCAACATGTGTTCACTTTCATTCAGATGAGAACAATTTCACTCATCAACCAAAATGAACATGCAAGTCGTCGGCGTATTAAATACAAAAATTAAATAATCATTCATGTACTTGATCAAAAAATATGAAAAAAGGCCTCCAAGCCTTGTAAAATGTTATTCAGAGCCCTACACAACAAATCTAATTATCTCCAATTTAAGATGAAACAGCACATCTTAAATCCAATGCAACACTGGGTGGAGCACCAGCCTTCCTTTTTAAAGAATCAGGCATTGTGCCAACAAAGTGGAAAAGGTGATAATCCTTTCACTCCTGAACGCTCCGACCCTAGCCACAAAAGGAAATAAAAGTGGGCAAATCGTAGTTTTCATCCCAATTACACTTACAAATTCCTCACAAATACCTTCGCAGAACTGCTGAATTTGGGTAAAAAGCCAAAACATGTGAATTAAAAGTCGCCTCAGCCGAATCACAAGCAGGATCAGTTTGAGGGTACATCCTAGCCAATTTAGCCTTGCTGAGATATACCATATGTGCTATCTTAAACTGAATTAGACACACAACTTGCGCACAGAGGACACATGATTTTTCCTCAACACATCATCCCAGGCTGATTCAGAAATGCTTATTTGATGGTCCTGTGCCCAGGCCTGTTTGATTGCCAGCCCAGAAGATGAAATAGCATGCAAGACCAGCCTAAGCATCATGGATATAGTTTTCTCCTTAGTGGGGTTAAAAGATATCACCTCATCCCTTAAATCAGGGGTTGTTAGGGAATCCTGGGATGGACCTTCAAATAAAATCTCATATATGCAAGTATCTAATAATAAGAATGGAATTTATGCTAGCTAGTGTATTGTTCAGCATGCTGACCACTGGGTGGATGGAACAGATTTCCCAACATGCCCCACTCTCATATGTTGAAAATGAAGCTAAATTTATTGCATATGGATAAGTATCTAAGTGAAATTATCATTCATTAAATGAAATATAAACCTACAAGTATCCAAGACAAGCTCACTAGAGTTTTTAGGTTATTAGTAAACAAGTGACACCACGACTGAAACAGATTATGGAGTCGGTTAAAAACATGACTCGTTTCGGTGCTACTGGGTGGAGCCAACTAAGGAAAGCGAAATTTCAACATGACCATAATGACAACGGGCAAATTATCCACTCACTGTTAGTTCCTGACAAACGCAACAGCTTTTATTGGAATCACCAGGTAGCAGTGCAAGTTATTGGATCCTAGACTGTTACACGCCAGGAAACCTGGGGCAACAAAATAATCTATGGACTGAATGTAACTCAAATGTTTTATCTAACAGAACAGAGCCCAAAATGCAAAGAACACTGAGAAAGTGATTGGCAGCAACAAAACATGGTAGCAGCTACTAAACCTCCAATTAGCCAAAGTAAAACACAACTAAAAGATCATCCCAGCGGGGATCCCCCCCCCCCCCCAGCGAGTCTCATTTACAAAGGAATCTAGTGCAGGGTTAACCCTGCACAGAAAGGCTAAATGGCTAAACAGATTTACGAGCACTGAGCATCCCCAGCACAGAATTACACAAAGTTGCTACTTCAAATGTGAATTTAAGTGACTAAACCAAAGTACGCCGAGGAGATAACAGCTCGGAGACAACGTCTCTGGTCTGCTTCTCCCTGAAGATGTGAGCCAGGAGTTTTTTATGCCTCCAATCCTCAATCAGTGGATGATTATCATCTCCAAAAGCTTGATGCTTCTGGGTGGAGCACGGCAGAGTGGAGGGAGCCAGGTGCTGCAAATCAGCTCCTCAGGTAAAATACAAGGAGGAGAAGTAACACAAAAGCCAAGCAGCGCTGAACGTAACATAGGCAATTACCGGATTCGCTTTCTTTCAAAATAAGACAGTTCCTGGATCCTGTTCCAGCAATATCCGGCTCAAATGAAGCACTGGTTTTAATTAAAGTCTCCTGAATCATAATTTCCTATGAAGAAATGGCTTGTTTCAATCTCTGTTTTAGTTTGACTTAACTAGAAAATGAATTGCATCATTCAAAGTTAAATTTATCAAAAACACAAAAAAATTTATCTTATTTTGGTCTGTTGAACCCTTTATATCATTACATTTTGAAGGATCCTATCATATAATCTTCTGGCCTCTTTCCAGAAGCCTCCTCACTAGCAGCACACACTGATTTTCAGACACTCTGCTGCTAACGTAGCCTAAAGCTGTTGGACTCAAGCAGAGATGAGCAACAAGCTTCTAAATCAGAGTCGACTTTAATGTGAAAAATGAGTAGAATTTCCCTTTTTACTCAGTCATCACATCACTGGTTAGTCAACAGGAATCGAATCAAGTGGAAGATTTGTGTTTGGAAACAGCCTGGTGTCCAAATACTTGGTGTGTAACTTGGGATTAAGACACACTTGGTACCGATTGATGTAATTCTCATGTTGGTGACATCATTGGAAAGAAATAACAGATGGATGATTCAATGCTTGGAAGATGTTTGTTTTGCTCTTTTCACCCAATCAAGGCAACAAAGACCCCGTTGTTGCGCCATAGACCTGACAGTTTTTGTTATTGTACAGTATGTCCTTCATTTCTGTGTAACAGCTTTAGTAGGTGAAGCTGGAACCCTGCAAAGTGTCTTCGGATGCTTTAATTATGAGTTCTGCCCTAAAAACACAGTAATAACCCAGAAATCGACAAAATAATGTTGTTTTACTTATTTTTCCCACATTGTTGAGCATCAAATAATTTATTAAGACTGAATGAGCATAGATATTTTGTTAACTGAAAGGATGCAATAGTGTTTAAAATGGGATTTCTTAGCGTTTGACTCCTAACAAGCACATCAAAGAGATGCTTTTTACAGTCTTTATTTTTTAACACATCATCTTCATGAAGACAAATGTGTGGCTTGTTGTTCTCTTGTGATTTTTTTTTTGTATTTTGAGCCTAAAATAAATAACAGATATAAATGTATGTGTGCTTTTGTTATCATGTCAGTGCTCAAATAAACCAAATTCTTCTTCGAAGAGGATTTAGTGTCTCCAAGAAGTCAGCGACCGTAAATATTTTGCACACAAATCTCTTCTGTGGAAGGTTGCATTTCAGATTCTGCTACGGAGCCAGATGATTGTCTCTTCCCTCCCGGGCTTCCTCTTTTTTTTCCCGCCCCTCCTTATCTCAGCATCATCTTTTGCAGCAGATATGCACCGCTAAGATACCTCTCTTATATCCGTGTGGCCTCTTTGTCTTGTGATGGTGCCAGCCTCAGAGAGCGGAGCGGGTCATGAGCATCCAGCAGCATACATTTACACAAAACAGATGATTCATTGTTGGGCTGAAATCGTAACATATTCCATAAACAGTAATAAAGAGCTTACTCAGATCAAAAGACTAATCTGAATAGCCTTTTGATGTGGACAGGTAAGGTCTTAATTAAAAAGAAAAAAAAACAACATGGTCACTCTCAAGAATGGAGGACTGTGTGAGGATTAAAAGCCGCCGGCCGGCACATCAGTGAAGCTCACTTGGCTCCGCTGGCCCGCTTTGAAAGACTGATATCTCAGATCACTTCCCGTCTTGTAAGTGCACAGAAGGCTTATCTCTTGGAGTGCGGAAGTTGTTGGATTTCTATCAAACAGCAGCATGTCCTGACTCAAAACCCAAATTCATACTTCAGAGTTTGCCACATTGGCTTCCTTTAATGTGACCTCACGGATGATGCACAGTAGCTACTTTTCGCTGGGCAAACCTCTACAAAGTCCTGTAAATGTCCCTGAACCTGTCTTTACCAGCAGAGACAAATCGGTTGCAGCAACATGTGGACGTGGAGAGGGGCTATTCAGTTGCAGCATGTGGCCAACTCGACTCCAGGTCAAGATAAACCCAGGACATGAGGACCATGCTTGGATGATATAGCGCCCCCCTTGCCTTTGAAATCCTTTCCAAACTCATTGAGATACTCTCAAAAGTGAAACTCAAGCTAGTGGTTCTGAAGGATGCAGAGATTACGATGGACAAAGAGCAGCATTGAGGGGGCGAGCGCCGAGAGAGGATGTAATGAACTTCATGTGGAAAGCTTCCCACTGCAGATGAGAGAGGCAGTCAGGACAGGAGATGCGGGGCTGGTGTGAGGGTGCATGAGTGCATCACCAACCTCTTTGATTGTTCTTGTGTGCTCAAAGGCAACTTGACAAACACCTCAGAGTCAAGTGTTCTGTCAGTCATCTAAGGGATTTGATTAGTTATAACGAGACGGTGAAGTGATGCGCTTTAGTTTGCACATCCAGGTCTTCATTAAGCACGAGCACCGGAGCTGAGTCCCTGATAGGCTCCACATTACTCACCCCAATGAGCATGGTAATGAAAAGCCTCAACCAGCAGGAGAAAAATAAGGATCCAATTGACAAATAGCCTTTAAAATCTCATTTTTGATCATGTTCACCAAAGATTCTGTTATTGGGAGCACCAAAATCTAAATCATAAAAGCATGAATGTTATATCCACAGAGGATGCTGCAAACCTTAAAATTTCCCCAACTGGACATGATTTACCTTAAAACTTGAAGGTTACACACATGATTGTTAATAATCAGGTCTAAATAATGACATATTTTGTTTAATATTTGTCTAGTCTTTCTGAAAAGAGACCAATAAGGTACTGTGCAAATGTTACCACGGTAATATCCATTTTTTCTACTCATACCACCGTTTACACAAATCATTTGGCTAATCATTATACTTCAAAATTCAAGTTTATAACCATGTCACTGACCTTTTACACATCTGCAATAACTTGAGTTTTTCTGTCGGATTAAACACCTGAGACTAGTTTATTCGATCATCTGATCGGTGTTTTGTAGCCACAGCAGCAGCAGATCTTTTTCTGGCCATGAAGCGGTCACAATATTCATAGAGGGGCCAAGTAGAAGTCCAACATCCCAAGAGTTCATGCTTGAAACTCTCATTTGACTCATTAGTACTACTAGTGTCTGGACCTGGAATTGC